ATATATATATATATATATATATATATATATATATATATATGGAAGAGAAAATTATTGCTAAAATTGCTGGGATTGTAATAAAGTTGTACATGAAATTGAATAAGAATATACTGGATGACTGAGGTTTTTTTAATCACTAAGCAATATCTCTCTGTATCTCTGATTTTTTTTTAATTTTACATCATTTGTCTAAAGTTAACACATTCTACTTGCTTTTCATTAATTTTATCATAATATATTTTTGTTCATCTCTTTTAACCTCTCAGGATCATTATCATTGAACTAGATTTCTTATGCTCATGATAAAAAATTAATAAAAATAGTAAGAAACAGAAGTCACAGCTTTACTTGTCCTGATGAGAATATGAGTTTGCAAATGTTTTACCAAGATAAGGAAAAGTCTCTGAGCTCCCTGAAACACTTAGCTAGTTCCTCTGAATATCTGAACCAAATGATTCAAATTTTCAGTTCTTTTACAAATCTAGATATTTAATAGGATCCAATAGGCAATAATGCTCGATACTAAATGCACTCATTACCTTGCTCATGTAACTTTACCCCTCTGTACAGGATTTTTACAATTGAAAAATGTATTTAAAATAAAAGAGGATCCAAGAGCAGAGGAAATGTCGTAGGTACAATATTAGCTGACTCCATCCTGCCACTCTTAACTGTGATACCACTGTGCCACATCACTGACTATACTGTGAAGATCTCATCATTAGGACATGATGGAAAGAGAAGAATAAAGAATAAACATCCCTTGGTGTGATTTAGGAGGTCCGGTCTAAACAGCTAAAAAGGTTAATAAAATTCTTGTCCAATTCTGGGATAAGGTCACCTAGCTCTGAGCCTTTTCATGCTTGTGAATTTCTCTCTGTAATGTGTGCTGATAGCTTCACCTTCTCCAGGTAGCAGGTCTCTCCCATAAATGCATAAGTTGTATCCACATTTATTTTCAAGCACATCAGGCAGAATCTGGTAAACAAAGTATTCCACAGAATTGGCCCCCTCTGAACTGCTACTGTAGTTCCGTGGATAGATAACATAAGCATCATAGAGCTTTCCATCTAGAAGTAAAAACAAAAAGCATGACTTCATTACTGGGCTCCAAAAATTCTCAATTCCTGTGTGTGTGTGTGTGTGTGTGTGTGTGTGTGTGTGTACTGGGGCTGGAATTCAGAGCCTCACATTCTCATTCTCACAAGGGTGGTGTTCTACCACTACTACTTGAACCACAGTTCCACTTCCACTTTCTTGTGGGTTAATAGGAAATGAGAAATTTCATCTGAACTGGTTTTGAACCTCCATGCTCAGATCACAGCCTCCTGAATAATTAGAATTATAGGTATAAACCACCAGCATCTGTCTCATTTGATTCCTGATAGGCCTTCCTGACCAAGTTGTATGGAGGTGAGTGAGTGTATATTATTCTCTAATCAGTATAGAATCAGGAGATTATTGCAATCCACTGCTACAGAACATGGTCAGGAAATAAGAATCTCATTCTCCAAATTCTCTTTCTCATTACTGTCTCAGCCTGAATTACACAAAAGAGACAAAAGCCTGTCCAGTGCAGTTCAAGCCATATGGTCAAACATGATTATTGATTTATTATTATGTATAGTCATGGATAGTGGTTTCCTTCTTTTCTCCATACCATAATCCTTACTTTTCTACAGGGAATATACTCCAAGACCATCAGTGGATACCTGAAAGCCTGGAGAGTGATGAAATAAGTATACTTTGCTTTTTCTTATATGTAAGTATCTAAGTTTAATGTTTTGTTCACACACATTATTGATTAACAATAATAACTAATGATAAAGTAGAACAATTATAATATACTGTAGCACAGTTGCTAGTGTCACTTCTATAATTTAGGACAATTAGGAAATAAGGTAAGTGTAACTTAAAGATAGGCACTGTGATATTACAACAGTCTATCTAATAACTAAGCCAGCTCTTGATTAATGGGCAGATAACATATAGAGTGTCAACACACTGCATAAAAGATTCATGTCCTGGAGGGGGCAGAGAAAGACAGTAAGCACTTTCATCGCACTATTCACAGTGGAGTGCAATTTAAACTTTATGTTTTCTGATTTATGGGATTTTTCATGTAATATTTTCAGACTTCAGATTGCATCTGCCTTCCATAGAAGGAGATGGAAAACTACAAGGAGACAGTCTCAGTTTCCCACAAATCAAACAGATGCGAATTGAGTGGACTGTATAAGAAAAATCTAATGTTTGTTTCCTTCCAAATAAAGACTAGGACTTTTTGGCAGACAGGATATCTTCTTTCATGTGCACACCTTATGTGCTCCTGTACCCTTACAGATCAAGTTTGCAAGAAAAGAGGAACAATTTTGTTGATGTCTTTTATTCCATAAACCTTTACCAATACACATTTTCCAAAATATTTCACCCTTCTCTAATTTAGGATAGATTTTGTTATTGGGGATTTAGTAGGAGCTAGAATCCTATTGGAAAGGATTTTTGAACAGTTGAGATGAATCTCAGAACCAAAAGAAGAAATAAAGCAAGGTAGAAAATGGACCCTTATTAGACTAAAAAAATTACTGATAATGTCAGCATGGAAAATGGAAACTGTATTAGGCAGCATAATTATTATGATTAATAACCAATCACCAATAGCCATTATGATGCTTTTGCTTCTGAGGAAAATCTTGAAACTTGCTACTTACCATTATTAGTTTTATAAGGGCTAGCTATGTCTCTCCAGAGCAGAACAACATCAATCCAGAACACTTTCAGGACTATCACCAAGACATTAATAAGCATTAACAATATACTACATCCTGCAACTATGTAGTACATGCTCTGACGATTAACTATCAAAAGACAGGGAAAAGACAAAAAACAATCATTATTGTAACCATAACAAGGCAAAAGAAATGCATACATGTTTGTCTCCCTGGGGAATACAAGAGTTTCACACCCAAGATGCTCATCTGAAATTTTCATGGCCACTTTAAAAAAAGTCAGCCAACTGAGCCAGGTGCCTGTGACTCATACCTATAACCCTAGCTACTCAGAAAGCTGAGATTTGCAATGCAAAGCCAGCCTGGGCAGAAACGTTCATGAAACTCTTATCACAATTAACCACCACAAGTTGGAAGTGGAGCTGTGGCTCAAGTGGTAGAGTGGTAGTTTTAAGAAAAAAAAAGCTCAAGGAGAATGCCCAGGCCCAGAGTTCCAGCCCCAGGATTGAAACCAAGAAATTGAAAATAAAAAGTCAGTAAACTGATATTTATTGAGCTCCCAACACTGTACAAGGCACCAAGTTGGGCATTACAAAAGACACTCAAAGGCAAAGCAGACACAAGAGTAAGTGCAAAATTAGCCAAGGTGGAGCAGAGAAGCAAGATTTCAGCTAGTATAGGCATTTCTAAAGAGCACTTGCTCCATGATGGATGAGAAAGGAAAGAAAAAGAAAAAGTTCCCTAAAGAACATGCAGAATTCAGGGGGATAGAGAGAAGAAAATAACACCATACTTCCCAGAAAGGATGCCATGAGTAGAAGTGAATGTGTTTTCTGAGGAACTGGATTAACTCATGTGGGGAATTAGTAAAAAAAAAAAAAAATGTGATGACAAAGGGAATGAGGACTAGGTTTGATAAGACTTGAAATGATTGGGAAAGAATTTTCCCTATGCCGAATGTCACAGAAACTGAAGGAGAACTTCGAATGGGGCATTAAGAATGTAAGTGTCTTTCATGTAAGATTCATTTGATGGTAACAGAAGATTGCTCTAGAAACAGATTACAGGTTTCTGAGTAGAAAGAGGTGTTTTGGGAGCACATTATGAGGAGAATATGAACTTACAAAACAAGGAGAAAGGAATGGACAAGCCTGGTGTGTGTGGGGAGTCGTAAGGAAAATGAATCTGTAGATTCAGGTTAGTTTCTGCATCAGAGGCTGATGGTATGGCATCAAAGAAGCTAAAAATCATAGAAGTCTCTGAGCACATTAGATGAAGAAGTCAAATTGCTAAAATCTAGGTCCTACCTAGATTTCCTGATGGTGAACAGAACAAATAAAATATCGATAGACTAGAATATACAAAATCACTCCCCCATCTACCAGGTAAGATGAACACCATCCTAGAACATAGGTAAGTAGACCACAGATGATGACATACATGTCATGCTGGGTGACAAATTCCACCCAGTGTGTGGCTTTCCTTTTCTGCAGGATCCTTTGCCCACCACCAGCTACAGTGTGTTTATGGGTTCACAGCCACTGAACTTCATCCTGGTATTCTTTGCTTCACAAAATGCATATGTACCATAACTTGCATCCTCATGGACTTCTAACAGATATGTACAAGTTGAACATCAGAATCTTGGTTATTATTCCACATTTACATCCATTTCTGACCTATTAGCTAGATTATCTTAAAAATTGTGCTGTTAAACCAAGCACTCATGTGTAATCCTAAAACTATTCAGTAGACTGAGAATTTGAAGCTCATGGCTCAAAACCAGCAGGAAAAGAAGGCCAATGGAACTTTTTATCTCCAATTAACCAGAAAAGATCTAAAAGTAGAGCTGTGGCTTAAGTGGTAGAGCACCAGCCTTGAGTGAAAAAGCTAAGGCCCTGAGCTCAAAGCCCTAGTGGGAAGGAAGGAAGGAAAGAAAGAAAGAAAGAGAAAGAAATTGTGCTGCTTAAAGATGAATATGAGGAGAACTTCAAATAAGAGTTGATCCTGCCAGGTACTGGTGCATTAAAAGCAAATGCCTTGTCATCCTAGCTACTCAGGAGGCTAAGAGCTGAGAATTGTGGTTCAAAACCAGCCCAGCCAAGAAAGTCCATGAGTCTCTTATCTCCAAATAATCACCAGAAAATCAGTAGTGGCATTGTGGCTCAAAGTGATAGAGAGCTAGCCTTGAGGAAAAGAGCTGAGATAGTGCCCAGATCCTGAGTTCAAACTCCATGACAAACAAGAAAAAAAGTGTGGAGGGTGGGGAAGGGGGAGGGAAAGGAGATGGGAAGGGATGGGAAGGGGAAACAAAGGAGCAAGCAACAATGCTTGATAAGAAATGTACTCATTACCTTGCCTATGTAATTGTAACCCCTCCATACAGTATTTTCACAATAAAAAAAGAATTAATTCTATGGTTCTTTTTAATCTTAATCTTGTTTCCAGGTTTAGAGTTCTCAGCTTTGATATCACTGGTCTGTATTTACAATCTCCTGTTTTGACATAATTCAGCAGCTCTCTGAGGACCTGACATTATGAAGTCAAGAATAATCAGGGCAAAAGTGATCCAAAGGTGAGAGAAAAAGCTGAATGAAATGACTGAACTTTCTAGTTGACATTTTCCAGAGAAATTATCGAAAGTCCAGCCAAATGCATACAGAAAATGTACTTCTCAAAGGGACTGTTGAAACTCTGCAGGTGGCTGAATGATTTCAGCCAGAGGAAAGACATTTATTCAAGACAGTTGAAGTTCAATATCCACCTATATGTGAATGATTCAATGAATGTGTAAGTGATTTTAGGCATTTGAATTCTAGATTTATGACTGCAGTATTTGACAGGATGTATCACTCTTTGTCTTTGTTTTATCATGTATGAAATTACAAGACAGTAACATTCTCCATATTGTGAGTCTTGAGAAAATTAATGAGAGACTTCACTGTATAATAATTAGGCTGAACTTGGACATAGAAATAAATGCATGTCTGCATTATTATTACTATCATAAGCAAAAATGTTTATTTGAGAATATTTAATGATTAGAGACAAACGTATCAAATTTCATTATTTAAATTCAACAAATGCAGCAATTTTAGAAATAAAGAAATTCATTGTGACAAATTGAGAAGTAACAGACAAATTTTGTTTAACATATACAATTGTGAAAACAGAGTACAATAATATTCACATGAACAAAAATAGGTGAAATACAAACAGACTAGAAAGTACAAAATCACTCCTCATGAACACAATTCAAGGACACAGATAAGTATAGAACATTCATCAATGATAACCAACATCCAGAAAGGATGAAGACACAGGTCATGTGACTTCCCTTTTCTGTAAAATCAATATGCCCACTATTACCCACAATGTATTCCTGTAGTCTATACCCATCCTAGAGCAACAACATCATCACCAGAAAAGAAAAGCCTAATGCCCTACAGGATATAACAGTACTTAAAAATAGCACTAAAATGAGTCATACCTCTGTACAGGTCAGAGAGTTAAGGTCAAATAAAAATTCCAAGCACCATCTCCAGTAGAAAGACTATCTAGGATCTTCTGAAACTGGTGATCTATTTCCTCTGCACTCATCTTTCTCTTCTACAGTGTCCTAGGGTGTTTATCTGTACTTGACACAGGAGTATAAGCTCAGAGTCTTTCTGGCTAGTTCATAAAAACCAAATACTTTCGAGGCTGGGAAGGTGGCTCAGTGGTAGAGCGCTTGCCTTGCATGCCTGAGGCCCTGGGTTCGATTCCTCAGCACCACATAAGCAAAAAGAAAAAAGCCAGAAGTGGCACTGTGGCTCAAGTGGTAGAGCACTAGCCTTGAGCTGAAGAGCTGAGGGACAGCGCCCAGGCCCAGAGTTCAGGCCCCACGACCGGACCCAAAAAAACAAAACAACACACACACACACAAAACTAAATACTTTCTACATATGTAATTACACTACCACAAAGGAGTAGTAAGTGCAAATGACTATATTTTTTCTCTTCTCTCTTTTATTTTACGGAATGCATCATGTAACAAACAGTTGACCACCTGGAAATACAAAGACAAGGCAAGGAGACTGACAAGTGCCCCTGGGAAGGAAATGCTGCTGAAGTCCTTTCCTGTGTCAATGTCACAAACGTACCTATCAGGGGGTGGGACAAAGGGTCAGGTTGCCCTTCTGGTAAGCAGCTCATCTCTAATATTGGTTAGCATCGCTGGGATCTAGTAGCAAGAAAAAGCAAAAGAACTTCTGGATGGGTTTATGACTATTTTGAAACCTATGTAGACCGCAAATTCCCTTGATACCTGCAACTAGAAGGATTGACAGAGGAAGCAGATGAAGGATGAAGAGGAGATGGCAAAAGAAGAGGAGGAGGAGCTGGCAGGAGAAGAGGAGGAGAAGCAGGGAGAGGAGAAAGAGGTGACAAGAGAGAAGGAGGAAGAAGAAGGGGAGGAAGAGGAGGAGGAGATGGAAGGAAGGAGGAGGAAACAGAGGGAAAGAAGAAAAAAGAGGGAGAGATCCAAGAAGCTTCCTAACAAAGAATAATATTCTGAAAAGACCAGATTTCAAACACCATCTTGAAGAGGAAAAGTACATTTTATGACACAGGCCATTTTCTTCCTGATGACGAATCTTTCCAGAACCAAACCACAACCCATTTTCTTCTAAGAAACAAAGGTCAGCTTCCAGGTGACACAACAAAGTCTCAGACACACTCCTTACTTGGCTTTTTCCTTTGTAATTTTATGGTGTGCCTTTTCATGCCATGCAGATTCCAGGCCACACAGTCATACTCCCGGGACAAATCCTCTTCCCTCACTTTAGTTATCTTCAAAAACTTGTTTAGACAAGTTAGATCATTGCTAGAACTGAGAAAGTAAGCATGTTACTTTGACTGTTTCCTTGGCATGTGCAAAGTGACACAAGGGACAGAAATGTTTTAACTTCCACATAAAATTACCTTTCATTTTGCCCTTCCTCCTCTTGAATTCTTTCTTCACCCAAGCTCTGAACTTTGCGTCGGTTGATCTGCCACAGGACAAGAGCCACAGTCTGCTTGCCTTTCCCGAAGCAAGCAGTGCAGGTCATATTTATTGGTTTTCCTAGATGAAGAGTTAAAGAAATTCATCAACAAGTGGCAGTTAATTGCACTGAGTGTGAGAAAAGCTCAGGGAACACCTTCGGAGTTCTGCAATTCTTTCTGTTTTCCTTTCTTACCCGTAGCACTCCATCTATCTGGTGCATGCTTTTCGTCTATTCTATGTCTCCTCATCCCCATTTTCATTTTACTCACTGTTAAGTTAGAATCACAGCTTTCCCCACCCACCCACCTACCCCTCACTTCAGGGAAAATCTTCACTGGTCCCTTCAATGACTTTCTCCTCCCACTGAATTGTCTTTCTCTTTCCATCAGCTACCATTCCGTGATCACCTCAAATTTCTAAGTATTCAAAAAGAGTACTCTCCAGCACTCCATCCCAACTCCTTGAACTTGAGACTTCTTCTTTGTAGAATTAAAAGCATCAGAAGAGTTGCTTGTTGACCATGCATTTGCATTCATTGGGTTATCCCTTCCCCAATCTAGGTTCCTATGAGGAGCTTTGATAAGAATTGGTCATCATATTCCAGTTTGAGGAACCTCTGGGAAGTGACAATGGTATAAAGAGAGGATTGGGGCACAAAGAAAGGCTAATGATGTATCATTGGAGAGAGGAAAAAGTTGCAGGGAGCATGGCTGTCACTCCACACATCAAAATAGTGTTCTGGACTTGAGATGACTAAGGAGTCTTGGATGTGATGCTCTGGCAGAGAAGGGTGGATAGAGAGAAATTGCATGGCAGTGGTGCTATTTGAGCTCAGTCTTGAGAGAGGAGGAGGAAGAACAACATGAGCAGAAGTAGGGCAGGGTATGAAAAGCACTGCCATCAGAATGATACCATGTGACATGAGGTTGGTATGGAAGCATGAATGGCTACAGATGGAGCAGGACAGAGGCACAAGAAGAGCATGAGGATGCTTGTTTCACAGAAGAAGCCCTTCTCACTGCATCCTGCTTCCAATGACAACCCAGAAAGACAGAAATAGAAAGATCCAGAAAGTCTGTCATTTTGTTCATTTTAGCCCCCTATCTCTTATCCATGACTTTGGATATCCATGACTCTGGCATGCCCTTGAACATCTCTGAGCTTAAGTTTCCTCCATCCTAGAGGATGGACATAACAATAAAGTGAGCTGGATACACAGGGCACCTTGAATTCCGAAGTGCAATGCAAATGTAAGGACTGTATGTGGCTCTGATGAGTTCCTAATTTTAGCAAGTACTTGAACCAGGTGTTCCCACTCTGCCATTTGCCATAGGCCTCCAGGTCCCCCATCCTAAATATCTGATCTAGGGGAATCTAGACCAGGGGTCAGGAAGAAGAACCAAGTAAAAAAGCATTTTCTTACCAATTCCCACTTCCTTGGTTTCATTGTGCCGAGGAGCCTTGATTATTGGTAACTTAGAAAATCCTTGATTAACTTTAAGTTAAAAACAAAAAAGGAGAATATAAGCATTAAGAGAGTATGATGTGATCAAACAAATCATATTTTCATATACTAACAATAATTCTCAAAATTTTGACAATAATATTTAGTAATATGCACAAATAAAAAAACTCATGTAATACATTTGCTGGTAACACCATGATGCTCTCTGACTTTTTAATCCTTTTCTATATTATTAACACAAATGTCGCATTAACCCATTAAATTAATAGTGTGATTAAAAACTATTGCAGGGGTTGATGCTTAATAGTGAGAGGGATGAAGAGAAATATGTTTTGGTGATGCTTATTTTATAACAATGGGACAATTGAAAACTTTCGGACAAAAACTTGTCCAGTATTGCTTTGACCCTAAGAAAATCTCCACTTAGAAAGTTTCTACGTGATCTGCACCTATGCATCAATCTGTGCTAAGGAGACTAAGAAAAATTGTTTCTGATAAGGTATGAAGGTGAAGTCTTCCCCCAAATGGGCTTTTGTAAGACTTAAAATACATTTGGAAAGAATTTGAAATAAGTATTTGACATCATTGAGGACATCAAAATCATTTCAGGACTGAAAACTAATCCACTATATCTGTATTCAACAGTTTACCTTATCACACTAAACCTTTTGTATCTGTGGACCCCAAAGTTACAAATTCAACCAAATGTGGACCAAAAATGTTAAGAAAAGATTGCTTATGTGATAAACATGCATAGACTTTTTTTCTTGGCATTGTTTCCCAAACAATTTAATATAATAACTACCTATAGAGATTTTACATTGTTTTAGGTATGATAAGTCATCTGGGAATGAGTACAGGTGTAGGTAGAAATGAGGGTAGGTGTGGATATACAAACACTGCATCATTTTGTATAAATGACTAGCTTCCTTGATGTTCATTACTAAGTGATCCTAAAGCAAATCCCTCACTTCTGGTTAGACTGTTATGTTTTTTTTAAGTAAATGACATTAGGATTCAGGTTCTTTTATCACTTATGTTACAAAAGAAATGAGTATGACTTTTCAATAAGTAATACGCTCTCTTCCTGGACGCTTTTAGGTCTTGATATATCAGGGAATTCCTGTAATACTACAGAATATGGAGAAGGAATCAGGAGGGAGTTGATGGAGGGGAATAGAGTGAAGGAAACTTGGCCATAAAAACTCAGTAATTTCTCTTCCTCTTTGCTTAAATCCACTCTTGTGTAAAGGTCAGTGGCTTACCTTTAACTGTGAATAATCTGGTTGCTGTCACACTATAATTGACTCCATTCTCAGAGTGTATAAATTTACATGTATAATCACCTTCATCCTCACGTCGCGCATTATCAATGACCAAAGATGACATGTGTGTCTTGTACCTTGATCCTTGAAGAGCTTTACAATTCTGAAATAAAAAATGACATTCCCACATCAGTCATTTTTCACTTTTCAATTTTACAAATGTTATCTATTTCTTTCCAAATTTCCACTTACCTTAAACCACTCAATAGGCACTGTCCAATTGTACATGTCAATTGTAGGACAGTGTATTCTGGCATATTTTTCTGAGCCAGAAACGGTTGTGTACATCAAGTGATCTGGAATGTTGCAGTCTGGTTGCTTTTTATATATGGTTACATTCACATAGCCAGTCTTATTGAAGGTGGGACTATTAAAATAAGGCAGGTAATTAAAGAGTTACTTATATTGCTTTTTTTCTTTTCAAGAAAACTTATGGTGTTTTTTTCTTTTTGTCTTTTTTTTATTGTGAAAATACTATACAGAGGGGTTACAATTACATGGGCAAGATAATGAGTACATTTCTTATCAAGCATTGTAGCCTCCTCAAAAATCTCAGGATTCAAATACATTTTTGTTACCCTTGAGATAAAACATAACCCTTATTCTTCATTCACTATGTCTGTTCTAAAGCTTGCTTCTAATTCTAAAAGATTACCAGTGTTTATTAAATGCTTACTAGTACTTTTCATGGAGGCAAGAATTTGTCATGGGTCCCTTCATTTTCTTCTCATAACATTCTTAAAAAAGTATTGTTATCTTTAGTTATAAAAAGGGATTTCAATTCAAGATGTCAGCTCATTAATATAATGTATCTTGATCAGTGTCACCCCTTTCTTCATTCTTTCCCATCTCCTCTAATCCAACCCATCCCCTCAATTTTCCTAGTTCTTTTTTCCACATGTGCACATTAAATACTATGGTTGTAGTCATCTACTCCCTTCTCCATGATCTCACTCCCACCCCCACCTCGGACCCTTAACTTCCAGAGTCCTGATAACTATTTTGTTAGACTATAAGCTAGTTGCTCAAATGAATTACACTATTGGAATTTTCCCTTGCATATACCATACTTTCGTTGTGATGTTTGTGTATACATGCCTATAACCTCTTACAGCAATGTTTTGAGATGGATTGTGTTATGGTATGTATTAGACAGATGAAGAAACTGAAAGGTACAGAAATAACTTGCTAGAACTAGTGACAATCAAACCATGAATTTTAAACTGCCTGGCCGCAGAATCTCTGCACTAAATGATACCCAGTTTCCCTTTCTATGTAGTTTATCTGATGCTTTATGCGTATTAAATAAAGGCAGGAAATCAAATTAGGTCAGAATGTCTATACAGACTGAGTGTTTTGTGCACAGAAGCTGCTGCAGCCTACCACTAAGGTTTTGGATCTAACCCAATTTTCCCCACCATAGAACTCAACGGTCAGATGTCTATGTTATTGATTTTGAAGATAGTTTGTTTGAAGAGTATGGTGAAAATACCTTCGGATAATGCAAGAATAAATGCCAGAATCATCCACTTTGGCAGGCAGAAACTTAAGACGATCTTCTGAAGCAAAGACACGATTTCTTTTCTGTGTGGGAATACTTTCATTTGTTTTTAAGTAATACCAGTCCACAGGGTCAGGGAAATCTCTATTTTTTGGACACTTCACAATTAAAGCCTCATTTTCCAGACCCCAGAATGGCTTACCTGCAAATACAAAATACAAATACAATCCTGAAATTATCATATGGAAAGATCATGAGTCGTATGCTTTTTGATATTTTCATCTAGGAATATTTTTGGGAGGTCCAGTCATGGGGTTTGAACTCTGGGCCTAGGCGCTGTCCCTTAGCTCTTCAGCTCAAGGCTAGCACTCTACCACTTGAGCCACAGTGCCACTTCTGACTTTTTTCTTTTTGCTTATGTGGTACTGAGGAATCGAACCCAGGGCCTCATGCATGCAAGGCAAGCACTCTACCACTGAGCCACCTTCCCAGCCCCCTAGGAATAAAATTTTAAATGAGTAGTATATCATGATACTTTGAGAAAGGATAAACAATTAACATATTTTATGAATTGTTCCACAGAGTACACAGATTACTAAATTAATTTAGTTCTAAATCCCTATTCTACTCCAAGGGGAAAGTAGCTAAGTTTAGCTGAACAACTTATTGTCACTCAATAAACACCTCTATTATTTCCTATGTACAGGCCACAGAATGTATTTGATATGTTTGAATATGTAAATATAAAGTTGTAATGTATTATAAATTTAAAGTTATCATATGCATTTTTTGTGGAGAGTTCCTTCCAATAGATTTGTGATGAAGGACAAAACAATAAACTTTCAGTTAAAAAAAAAAATCCAGATGGCAATCCAGAGAGTTTCAATTTGGGAACTTGGCAGTTTCTAACTGGAAGCTAAGAGTTGAAAACAAAGCAAATATTCTTGGAATCACTTCATGAATTTAAATTGAAAAATAATACTTACTACTCTTAGCCGCTGTGGTGAAACATATGAGAATCACTAGAATTGTCAAGATCCCAAGTCCCATACTTTATGGATCAAGAACAAGTGTTGGCAAGTGGTTGCTGAGATGTCAAATGAACCGTTGACACTGGTAGGGAAGATCTCCTCTCTGAGGTTGACAGTGCTGCCTTAGACGTATAACTGGAAATGGTGTTAGTGTCTCTCCTGAAAAATAAATTAAACAAAATCACAAGCAAAATATTTATTTGACCGTGATTTTTTACTTACTCAAGACCACCCAGGAGAATCAATCAACACTTAATTATTATGTACATATATACACAGCAGCAGGTTTGAGACATGCACTACTGCATTATTCCTACTTGAGACTGGAGATGGGATACAGTCCTCACAACAAAAGCACTGTTTCACAATTATGTGTTACCAGTCTTGTATTCTCAAAGAAGCTAACTTAAGATGAAAAATCTGGGTAGGAATTGATGGCTCATGTCTATAACCCTACCTACTCAGAAGATTTGAAATCTGAGGACCACAGATCAAAGCTAGCCTGGGAAGGAAAAACTTCAAGACATTTTTTTCCAATTAACCACGGCAAAGACACTGTGGCTCAAGTGGTAAAGTGCTAGCCTTAAACAAAATAGCTAATATACAGTGCACAGGCCCTGAGTTTAAGCCCAAGTACTAGTAGTACGAGAGAGAGAGAGAGAGAGAGAGAGAGAGAGAGAGAGATGCACTTTCATTTCTGAAATTTTAAAACCTAAAGTTTCAGACTACAGAAAAGGCAACAACCACAGGCTGGTTACAGCATGCACACATATGTTAGCTTACACCTAAGCATGCATGAAAATAAATCATTACCAAACTAAAAAGGAAAAAAAAATCGTCACCAAACCATGAAGCAAAGAAAAAATGAGAATCAAAGCATTAGCCAAATATTTCTCTGAGACTTTTCCTCACATCAAAACTGTCCCTGCCAGAACTTCATCCCTAGAGTCACCAAAGGTTAAGAATTCATGAATGTCTGTAAATAATTACATCTTTTTTTTCCTTTTCAATAAAAGACTCTTTTACTAAACCTTTGTTCTAAAACCAGTAGAAGAGGGATCAAACCAACATAGAAATACAAATACATAACTATCTTCAAGAAAGCATGTATCTCTTAAATATGAATCACTGATACTTCTCTTATTCCAACCCTAAGATAATTACTGATTGCTTACCCACAAGGAAAGACAGAGAAAATAAGGCTGGAATCAATGACTGAACCAAAAATAGTTCTTGCCTTTGTTGCCGGTCCTTGGAACTGGAACTGGAAAATACACTCCCTCTTCTGTTTTAAATCTCCAATGTCATCTTCCAATTCGCCACCCTACCCACGTGAGATCCATGATTTATTAAAAAAATACTCATGTATCATGTAGTAGAAATTCTTGAGCTTGCTACATAAATATTTAAATGTAAGACATTGTCTAACCCCTTTCAGAGGAACAACTTAAATCATTTCCCTCTGTTTTTGTCTTTTCTACTCAAACTGAATAATAAACAATACTTGATGTCTCGCTCCTTGATATTTGAACACTGCTGGCTCCAAATGATCTTGATATTATGGGACCTTTCGGTTATCCTGCCAGATGATCTCCAACTTCTCTTTTCGCTGACAGAACTCAAGAAGGCCTCCTTGGTGTGGCTAATTTCAACAAAGATGCAGGAAGTGAAGGAAAAGTTATCAGGACACCAAGAGTTCTTGGAAATGTTCTGTCTGTAGTGCAGAATGTGATGCCTACTCATCTCAAACCAAGAGCCAGCTCCTGATCTTAATCCCACTAAGATTATCAGCCTTTTTTTCCTTTTTCTGGCTTGAAGTTTTATGTGTAATTTATTTGCATTTTTAATGTTATTGTTAAGATGATGTACAGAGGGATTACAGTTACATAAGCCAGATAAAGAGTGTATTTCTTTTTGAACAATGTCACCCTTTTCCTCCCTCTCTTGTAGTTTTTTCCCTCCTATCCCCACCCACAAATTGTATAGTTCATTTTCAACATACTGTCTAGTGGTTAACACTCCACTTCTGGATTTTTGATGGTTAATTGGAGACAAGTCTCATGGACTTCCCTGAATGGGTCAGCTTTGAATTGTAATGCTAAGATACCAGCCTCCCAAGTAGCTATGATTATAGACATGAACCATTGCTACTGATGACTTCAGACAAATAGAGGGAGACTGTGAATAAGAAATTTCCAGGCAAGTGCCAGCAGCTCACACTTGTAATCTTAGTTACTAAGGAGGCTGAGATTCAAGGATGGACTTGGAAGCCAGCCCAGGAAAGAAAGTTCTCAGACTCTTTTCTCCAATTAAGCATCCCAAAAGCCAGAAATGGGAGCTGTGGATCAAGAAGGAGAGCACTAGCCTTGAGAAAAATACTTCATAGATAGCACCCAGACCCTGAGTTCAAACCCCAGGAACAGCACAAAAAAAAAAACAAACAGAGAGACAGACAGACAGACAGAGACAGAGAGAGAAATAGAGAGTCAGAGACAGAGACAGAGAAGGGAGAGAATGAAAGAGAAAGAAAGAGTGAAAGAAACAGAGAAATAGAAGGAAAAGAGAAGAAGAGAAAGAAAGGAAGAAAGCAAGAGAGAAAAAAATTTTCTCAACAAAGGAGAGACAAAGAAAACTAGAACCTCAGCCTTTGGACACCATTAAAACAAATGTGAATGCTAAAATTGATCTTATGAGTTTATTATGCATAAACTCAAATTAATTCTAAATGACTATGGGCAGGAAAGATGCAAGAACCAGCTCCAACGCAGCACAATAATAGGACAATAACTGCTGAGAACTTCCTCTCCAGCCCATAGTTTTATATGTCTCCACTCTATCACTTCTTCACTCTCAATATCACACAATGATAAGGCACTGATATCATTAACCGCACTGTATAGATTATGACACTGAGGCACAGAAATTATGTAAGCTGCTAAAGCTGAGTGGCCGAGTCAGAATTTGAACCCAGACTGGCGCCAACCACAATTAATCACCAGATCAACTGCTGTCAGCGATGAAAAACCAGAAGTGGGGTGCTGCCCATAAGGAATTCTGGGCCCACTTTTCTAGCTAATTTCCTGCAGCATCTTCCCTCCCAGCCTCCTTCCTATCCTGCCCTCCCATTGTATCTGGGGCCATTTTTGACATCTCTCATTTGCCCAGGGAGCTGCTAAGTCAGCACTGGGACGTGTGTGACAAGCTCTGCCCATTTCTCTGGAGAATGCCCTCTTTTCAGACTCTAACAATTCCCTTAGCAAAATAAAATTATATTAAGTGAAGTAAGCCAGGCCCAAAGAACATAGCGCCCATGGTTTCCCTTATTTACAATAACTAGTATATGTCTGGGACAAGCAGAAAAGCTCAAAAGCTATATACATATGACCAGATAAGATGATGTTAAGCGAAATGAACCCCAAGATAGGGACACAAGTAGTTGTTTTCTTTCTTGCTATTGTTTCTAACATATTTATAAGGTACCATGGGATTTTTTTGTTGTATGTTCCTCTCCCACGGTATAACCCCTGTTTTCACCGTATTTGATGTCGGTATAATTTGGGGAGGGAAAGAAAAAAAACAAATGTTTGAATAGGGTTACAGGTTGACCCATTGTAACAATGAGATGTGCAAGACACTTGAAAAATGAACTTTACAATTTATAGGGCGGGGGGAGTGTAGTTGAGGAGATGGGAGGGAAGGGATGGTAGGGGAAAAACAAAGGAGGCAACAATGATTGATAAGAAATATATTCATTACCCTGCTCATGTAATTGTTACGCCTCCTCTGTACAGTATTTTCACAATAAAAAACTTATAAAAATAATAAAAATGTTATCTAATAAAATCTAACCTAATTTGGCCATACTCCCCTGATTAGAGGAGTTTACATTAGGGGAGTTTAATTTCTAATCTACTCCTCTGACATTTCCACTAAAAAGTAAATTAAATTGACGAATCATTTCCTTACCATCTGCTTTGGTCTGTAGTATTTAAATACGCTGTGTCATAGAGGATATTATGCAAAGCTTGTTCCTTTGGCTTGGCATTGTCAAAAGGAAGCTATGAATGTGTTAATATTTCTGAACTGGCCACTTTTGTCCTGTTCTTACCATTAACCCATCTCAGAAGCCAAGGATGTTTGGTGACATTAAACATTCCTTTCTTCTTTGGCAGCATAGAATTTGAATGCAAGGATCTTGTACTTATTACATAGATACTCTCTCAGTTGAGCCACACTTCTTGGACTTTATGTATTTGTTTTTCAGATAAACTTTTTTCAGATATTCAGATTTTTTTCAATTATTTTTCACATCTTTCCCTTCCCCTGTCCAGACCCCAACCATGACCCTCTTACCCATTGATCCTCCAGAGTTAGGATTATAGGTGTGCCCTACCACACTTGGAATGTCAGTTGTGATGAAGTCTTGCTCGCTTTCTTTGCCTGGGCTAGCTTTGAAATGAGATCCAATTTTTGCCTCCCACATTGCTGGGATTACACCATGCCTGCCATCCTCACAGTAAACTTAGATGCATTTTTCATGGGCTAGTTATTCTCACAAGACAAGCAAAGGACAGAACATTTTCCCTTCATTTAATTAAAGATCTCTTTAGTTGTGATCCTTCTCTTTTCTTAACAAAAGCTTATGTAGTACCTACATCCATCAGTAATAGAACATGTGGTGTTTGGTAGCCTGGCTCATAGGTAAAGTGCCATCTCCTGGATTCTATGCTACACTCTAGGACCACTCAATCAGAACTGCTCCAGATCCTGATTCTTCCTTCTCTCCTTCTTCCTACCTCTGCCAAAATTCAGAAGCAACTGGTACATGTTTAAGGCCAAACAAGAACAAAGCATTGCTATTATGCTGTTTGTTTTGACTAGTATGAGGGCTTGATCTCAGGGCCTCAAGTTTGCTAGCCTGGCACAATAACACTGTAGCCATGGCTCTACCACAGATTTTTCCTGCTTATTCTGGAGATGGAGTCTCACAGATTTCTGCCCAGGATGGCTTCATACATC